CTTTACAAAAAATCTAAAAAAAATAATTTGTATATTAAAAAAAATCTAAAACAAATATAAATATCTATAATTTTTCCATACATATATATATATATATATATGTATATATTTAACTATGACATGGCATGCTATGAGTGAGTGAACATTGAAAGCCCAAAAATCATACTCCATGTCCATACAATCCTTATAATAATCACACATCCTAATTTTGCTCCACAACATTCATTTCCTTTCCCCTGTAATCTCTCCTTTCTTCCTCTCCTCTCATTCTTTTTTCGAACTCTTAGAATTCTCTACTCTCCATCTCTAACATTTCAAAACCTTTCAACATCAATTCAAGTCGACGCTATCGCCACCACCATCACCGCTAGAATCAATCAAAAGAAGAAAATGCCAATGATGAGGCAAGCTTTCAAGTCACTTACAGTTGCACTTGCGGTGCCCCTCTCCCTAACCATGATCATAATATTTACATTTGGTTCCGGGCCCAAGTATCGTGCCTTACAAAAGCCATTTTGGTTTCCCCGTCTATGGCTCATACACGTAGCCTCTCTTGGCTCATCATTCCTCATGGGCATGTCAGCCTGGCTCGTGTGGGCCGAGGGTGGATTTCATAGGCAACCCGATGCGTTGCCTCTCTACATCGCTCAAGTCTCCCTAAGCTTAATTTGGGACCCCCTTGTGCTCAAAATTGGGGCTTCCCATGTTGGGTTGTTGTTTTGCGTTGTACATTTTGGGACATTGGTGGCATGTTACCAAAAATTCCGGCCGGTGAACCCAATCGCTGGAGCTTTTGTTAAGCCTTGTTTGGTATGGGTGGCATTCCTTACTTTTGTTAATTTCAAGCTTATTTTCATCTAAAATCAGCTTTGTATATATAATATAGGCCAATGCGTAGATGGTTCTAGTGCACATTTAGATTTGATTAGCTTCTCTTCTTTTATTTTTATTTATTTATTTTATCTTCTCAGCCCTCTTGACAACAAAAGAGAATGGAATGTGATTAGAAACTGTTTAGCTATTGAAGTACTTTTATGATGTCCTCTTTTGCATTGTTTATCAATGAATGTATAGATTTTTTTTTAAAAAAAGTATGGGTGAAATAGATCGAGAATGATAAATTGATTAGAGACTAAATTTTTAATTTAATTTGCACAAATTAATTATTTTCAAGTTTGAACCCTCCAATTTTTTAAAATAAAAGTTTGAATTCACAATTTTAAAATTAATATGCCGAGTTTCACTATAAAAAAAATAATAAATTATACTAACAATCGTTCATTAAAATTCGTTGAGAATCAAATAATATCAGCAAAATTTAAATTATAATACAGATTTCAATTTTCAACAATGATTCATCCCACTAAAAATATCACCACTAATAGCACTAATGTATTAAAAAAGTAAAAAAAAAAAAAAAATACAACTCCAAGACCAAAACATCACATCATTAATGGCAGGACCTACTGCCACCTAATTAGTGGGAGCACTTTAGTGCTCCCAAACATTTTTCTTCAATTTTTTTTTTACACGTACACTAACATCAACCAGGTTAGTATTTTTCTTTAAAATAATAATAAAGAAAGATGCCTCCAAATTGTCAACCAATCAAGCTTTTTTATTTATTTAATGATTGGGCAGACAAAAGATAATTAAATTTCAGGAGCAACACTTTGGGGGTATTTATTCAATAGCATGTGTCTTCCATCTAGGTTGAGGTTCTACATACATACAAAATATTTGAAAATTATTATTATTATTATTATTTTGACAACTCATGTTGACCTCAAATTGCAAGAGGAAATTATTGAAACAAATATCTTTAGGACTAGTCAATTTTGTCATCACAAAAACTAGTCAAATTTTGGAACCAGATCTTGTTTTAAGTTTCATTTTTTCTTTCATTTTCCACCCTAATGGCCCTTTCTCCAATAAGATGTCTCGGAGTTAGTAAATTCCAACATTGAGAGTTGTTTAATGCATTTTATGAAACTATTTATAATTAATAGAATAAAAATAATTTTAATTAATTAATTAATTAATTTTTAATTTTAATATCAATTTTTAAATTAATTAATTATTTAATTTTTAATTTTAATATCAATTTTTTAATAATATCTTTCTTTTCTTTTTCTTAAATTTAACTATCAGAGTGTCTTCTTATTATCATTCTCCATTCGGAGAACGTTAATGGTGCAATATTTTGCCGATTCATAACTCACCATTTGATAATTCTATTACTAAACTCATCGTCATCAAGTATGGATCGATAATTCTATTACTAAGAGCTTGTTTGGCAAGTTAACATTTTAGTCAAAAAGTTAAAAAATTACTAAAAAAGTCAAAAAGTCTATAACCTATACCAAAAAGTCAAATATTTTATTTTCTCTCTACTTTTTGCACATCTTTTTGTAAAAAGTCAAAAAACCATCACAAACATACTAATTTTTTTATCTCATATTTTAGTTAAAAAAATTAAAAAATTACTAAAATAACATGTTTCTAAACTAGGCCTAAACTCATCGTCATCAAGTATGGATCGATTTTGTTGCTTGCACATGCATAATTTCCAATTCCACATCAATTTTCTATTTTTATTTAATACTAACACATACCTTTACTTTGCTTGGTTAAAGTTTTTTAAAAATATTTTTCAAAAAATTTTACTTACTTGTTTTCCGTATTATTTTTGTTTTTACTAAATTTTTTTAATATTTTAAACAATTTTTTTTACCTTTTAGACATACCTAACATAAATATACCTAAAAAGTAAAAAAAATATGAAAAAAAAATTCTCATATTTTAGTTAAAAAAATTAAAAAATTACTAAAATAACATGTTTCTAAACTAGGCCTAAACTCATCGTCATCAAGTATGGATCGATTTTGTTGCTTGCACATGCATAATTTCCAATTCCACATCAATTTTCTATTTTTATTTAATACTAACACATCCCTTTACTTTGCTTGGTTAAAGTTTTTTAAAAATATTTTTCAAAAAATTTTACTTCCTTGTTTTCCGTATTATTTTTGTTTTTACTGAATTTTTTTAATATTTTAAACAAATTTTTTTACCTTTTAGACATACCTAACATAAATATACCTAAAAAGTAAAAAAAATATGAAAAAAAAATCTTTTAAAAATTCACTAAATACCAAAAATATATAATAAAAAAAAACAAAAAATCAGTATATTTTTTGTATTTTTATGTATTTATTAATTTTTTAAAATATTTTTTCACAAATTTTACACTTTTTAGATACATCTAAGTAAGGTGTATCTAAAAAAGTTAAAAAAAAAAATTTAAAATTTAAAAATATTCACTAATAACAAAAAAAAACACGAAAACCAAAAAATTCAATTTTCAAAAAACTTAATTCAAAAAACTCAAACCAAACACACTTACGCAACATACCTTGGATTTGATCCCTTTATAGAAAAATTTACCCATAAATTCCATCTCCAAAAATGGTAATCCGTTTGATCCCAAATTTTTTTGGAAAATGATATAAGCCCAAATTTTTTATCAAATAAATGATCAAATATCTCACATGGGTGTGGGGTCTACAAAATTGCGGACCCCACACCAATGTGAGACATTTGGTCATTTATTTAGTAGAAAATTCAATATCCCTAGCCTTACCCAATTTTTTATAGACCAATTAATACCATTGATTTTAGAAAGGTAAATTTAATATATTCTTTAAAATTAGGTTTATTGTTATAACCTTTTTTCTATTATGTTTCCTTTTCCTTTTTTTTCTTTTATGTTGGAAAGGTAAAATACATAACATATGGAAAAATCAAATTTGGGATGGATCTTGATATGAGAATATTTTTGATTTCGAATGGTTTGAAATGTGAAAATTTTCAAATATTTTAAAAAGAGTATAATAATTATTTGAAATGTGAGATTCTTTAAAATTTCAAACTGTGAGATTTTTATTTAGAATGGATGAAAATGTGAGATTTTTCAATATTTTAAAAGAAGGAAAATGTTTGGTAGCTCAAAATTTTGTTGCTCAAATGGCTCAAATCTGTCAAAACGACATCGTTTTACACTTAAAATCTGTCAAAACGACGTCGTTTTGAGCGATTTGAGTCACAAAATTTTGAACTACCTAGCATTGTTGTTAAAAGAAATACAAAAATCTCTTAGTTAGTTTTGGATAACTATATAATTTCAAATTGTGGGGGTGTTTTTTTATTTAGAATGATTTGAATTGTAGAATTCTTTTAACATTTTAAAAGGAATACAAAAAATCCTTAATAAATTTTGAAAAATATATAATTTCAAACTATAGGGATTTCGGCCATTTATGGGCAGATTATTTTGTAGACTTATTGGTTACTAAGATATGAAAATGAGATTCATTGGTGCTTCCCCCTTTTTATATTTTATTTTTAGTTTATTAGTGTAATAATCTTTCCCGTATAAAGGTTTATTTCTCTTCCTCGTGAGGACATTTTCTCCTCCTTTATGAAAGTTTGGATCCTTCATTTTATGAAATTTTTTTATCTCATTTTGAGATTTAATGATACCACTATATCAGATTAATCCGATCTTTTATCTATTTTATAATGAAGATTTTCTTCCCGATATAAAAATATATATATTCACACATTTTTATTTTACCCATAAGTTTATGAATAAAAATGTACAATTTTTTTAAATTGTCTTAACATGAGTTACAATTACAAATAAATAATGAATTATTTACACTAAAACCTCAGCAACTATAAGTAAATATTAATTTACTCCATTTATTTATGAATTTATATATATAATCCCTCAATTATAAAAATTATGTAAATTTTTTCTACAAAGATAAAAATAATATATATTTATAATTGAATAGATCAAAATATATAAATTTATAAATAAAATTCAAAATATATAAATTTATAAATAAAAATAAAATAAAATAATATTCACTACTAATGAAGAATCATAAATAATCCTCCGGTAGCTTCCGTGATTACGTGCAAAGAAGTGAAAAAATAAAATAACATAAATATGCACCCTCTCTGTCTCTTCTCTGTCTCTTACCATGCAATCTCTCTGAATCTACCTTCACTACTCTCTCTCTCCACCGACGCTGTCCTCTGTGTCTCCATCCAGAGAGAGATTCACGAATAAACCCTTGATCTTCTCTCTTTCCCAAATCCCAAACTTTCCATCCCCATCGAGCATTGGTCAATGGAATTCAACAACCCACTTTCCATTTCAATCTTCACACGCTAAAATTCAATCAATTCTCACCCTTTTCTAGCTCATCCCTGTTCGATTCACCTAAAAAATCTTTCAATTCCATTACCCACTTTCCATTTTAATTTCTTCACGCTAAAAAAAATCCAATCGATTCTCACCATTTTCAAGCTCATCTTTTTTTTTTCGATTCAGCTCAAAATGCTCTGAATTCAATTATCCACAAGCTGAAATCCAATCAATTCTCACCCTTTTCGAGCTCATCATCGTTTGACTCAGCTCAAAAATCTCTGAATTCAAGAACCCACTGTTCATATTTCAATTTCCATTTCGATTCAGCTCATAAAAAGCTCTGAATTCAAAAAAATTATGCTAGACCGTTTCTTCGAAGCTCATCAGCTATGGAAGATCAAGCGAGTTCTCCGAAACGGAAAGCTCACTCTCCTCTGCCTCGTCCTCACAGTGGTCGTGATTCGGAGCAATCTCGGCGCCGGAAAGTTCGGAACTCCACAAGAGGACTTCAACGAGATCCGAGACCACTTCTACTCTAGCCGGCGCGCCGAGCCACGCCGCGTTCTTGAAGAAGCCCAAACCACCACCACCACAACCACCGCCTCCGGCGGCGGCGACACCGCATCGGAGAACAGTTATGCTACATTCGACATCACCAAGATTTTGGTGGACGAAGGTGAGGACGAAAAGCCAGATCCAAACAAGCCATATAGCCTCGGACCCAAGATCTCTGATTGGGACGAGCAACGAGCCGATTGGCTTGGGAAAAACCCTAGTTTCCCCAATTTCATTGGACCCAATAAACCTAGGGTTCTTCTCGTTACTGGGTCGTCGCCGAAACCCTGCGAAAACCCTGTTGGCGATCATTACCTATTGAAGGCTATTAAGAACAAGATTGATTATTGTAGGCTACATGGTATTGAAATTTTTTACAATATGGCTTTGCTTGATGCTGAAATGGCTGGGTTTTGGGCTAAGCTTCCATTGATTAGGAAGCTTTTGTTGTTTCACCCTGAAATTGAGTTTCTATGGTGGATGGATAGTGATGCTATGTTTACTGATATGGCGTTTGAGGTACCGTGGGAGAGGTATAAGGATCACAACTTCGTGTTGCACGGTTGGAATGAGATGGTTTACGATCAAAAGAATTGGATTGGATTGAACACGGGTAGTTTCTTGTTGAGGAATTGTCAATGGTCATTGGACATTCTTGATGCTTGGGCTCCAATGGGGCCGAAAGGGAAAGTTAGGGACGAGGCAGGGAAGATACTCACTAGGGAGCTCAAGGATAGGCCGGTTTTCGAAGCTGATGATCAGTCAGCTATGGTGTATATATTGGCGACACAGAGGGATAAGTGGGGAGAGAAGGTTTATCTTGAAAGTGCATATTACTTGCACGGTTATTGGGGGATTTTGGTCGATAGATATGAGGAGATGATTGAGAATTACCATCCGGGTCTTGGAGATCATAGGTGGCCGCTTGTGACTCATTTTGTTGGTTGCAAGCCTTGTGGGAAGTTTGGGGATTACCCGGTTGAGAGGTGTTTGAAACAGATGGACCGTGCGTTCAACTTTGGGGATAATCAGATTTTGCAGATCTATGGGTTTACGCATAAGTCACTAGCGAGTAGGAGGGTGAAGAGAACGAGAAATGAGACGAGCAATCCTCTTGAAGTCAAGGATGAGCTCGGTTTGCTTCACCCAGCATTTAAAGCGGTCAAGGTATCGTCTTCTTGATCTTGAGGGCACAGGGAAGCTTGAAATCAAGATTGAGATGTGCACTTCCCACATTATGATTCTTTTGTGCACTTTTAAGTTATATACATGTTGTTTTGTGTTGTACTTTGGTTACTTGTGGTAGCTCTGGTTATTGTATTACTCAATTTATTTCAATCCTTTTTGCGTTACTAATCCTTAAATTATAATGATTTTGTATGGAGAGCATAGTTTAATTTGTACCTTGTTTTCCAAATTGTACCTCGTTGATTTATTAGATACAGTTTATCTATAGCAATGCTCTTTCCTTTGTGATTGGTAGGAACTATAATTCGATTTTTCTCTATGATGGAAATGTGTTGTGCCATTCTGTTTGGTAACCTAGGTTTAATTTCCACACCATCTTGGCCGTAAATAGGCAAAAACTCATTGCTTGTTGGTTGGATTTTAGCATGCTTGTACTGTTTGAACCCTTAATCTGTTGAAAATGTGAGCTTCAATATCGACATGTGAATATTATGTTGTTAATGTGATAAACAAGGCATAAAATGAAACCATTAAGTGCAATGTTCTCATTGATTTGGGAAATGTAATAATTATCACTTTGTATCAAAAACTAAGAAGGCATAACATAAAACCAATAATGAGTGCAATGTTCTCATTGATATGGGAAAAGGAATATAATTAATCATTTTGAATCCCACATGGATCATCCTTTGCATAACTTGATCAGATTTGGCACTGTTCATTGCTGTTACTAGGAAGTTACAGTTTCACAACTTCATTTCAATTTGTCATTTGCAACTTTAGAATGGTTATAGTAGCTGTCTTTTAGCCTTTGCCCTTTTATTTTGGGAAGTGGGTTATAATCCGCTTTTCAGATTATAATTCACTTCCTCTCTCACAAAAAAGCTGCTTATAAGTTATTTATAAGCAGTTTTTCACCAAAAAACTGATTATAACTAGGTGGACCGTTTCTTGGTGTTGGTATTAGTGTTGTCTTACTGGAGAAGTAGGAGAGGGCACAAAACTCTAATTGTTAGTTTATTGAATAAAGTGACTGTTAATGATAGATAATATATTTTCATTTCTATAATATATCTTCCATAGAAATGAAGGGAAGTAAATATTATATAAAAAAGAGGGCTGTTTGGTTTACTAGCTTATTTAGTAAAATTTTGTTGATTAGAAAAATGTCAGAAGAGTAGAGGAAGAGTATTTTAGTGCCAATAAATAAAAATAAAAGAGATGTTAAGAATTGTAACAACTATAAACAAATCAAGTTAATGTGTCACAAATGAAAGTGTGGAAAAGAGTGATGGAACGTTGATTGTGAGATATAACAGAGGTGTCAAAGAATCAATTTGGATTTATGCTTGATAGGTCAACAATGAAGGTGATCTATCTTTTAAGAAGAGTCATAGAAAAGCATGGAGAAAAGAAAAGAGACATTCATATGATTTTTATCGATCTGGAGAAAGCATATGATACAGTGCATCGGGATATAATCTGGTGGGTGTTAGAGAAGAAAGGGGTGGCAAAATGTTACATTGATATGATTGGAGATATGTATGAAAGTGTCATGACCACTATTAGATCGCATGTTGGAAAGACAAGTGAATTTTCAATTTCTGTAGCATTACACTAAGGATCAACATTAAGCCCTTATCTTTTTGCTTTAATTATGGATGAATTGACGCACGATATTTAGGATGATGTGCCATGATGTAGGCTTCTTGCAGATGATATTTTGTTAGTGAATGAAACTAGAGAAAAAGTTAACACTAAGTTGGAGATTTGAAGAAAAGCACTTGAATCTAAAGAATTTAGGATAAGCAGAACTAAGACAAAATATATAGGGCATGTTTGATTGACATGATTAGAGCATGAGATTGTGCTTATTAATCCGTAAGCCCAATAATCTTGTGTTTGTTTTGAAATTTTGTTTCAGGATTATTAATCTAATGGATAATTAATCCAATAAATTTGTAAGATTATCAGTAATGGGGTAGGTGTGAGATTGTATATCCTGAACTGTGAAATAAAATAAAAAGACTCTTTTACCCTTAACTAAAAATTAAAACACTTATTATTTTTATATAATTTTATATTTTAGAAGGCTAAAAGTAATTGTAAAAAATTTAAAAATATTTTTTGATATTTATTTTATCAAATTAATTTATATTTAAAAAAAATTAAAAAACAAACCAAACATGTCCTTAATATTTTGTATTTTTATTTTGCTTTTATTTAATTATTTATTTATAACTTTTTTCAAAATCGTGCTTATGAAGAAATTTTGGTAAAGTAAAGATTGTGAAGAAACATAGATGAAGGGTAAGATTGGGAAAGAAGATAACTATAGTTGTAATCTTACATTTATATGTTTTCTTATTCAATGCAAATCAAACAATGAATAAGGGAATAATTTATCCTAGTAATCTAATTGGATAGTAAATACTATACTAATTTGATAGGATTATTAATATTTTCACTATTAGTTTTGTGAATCAAACATGGTCATAGAGCGTAATTTTAGCAACAGTCACAATGAGAGTGAAGAAGGAGTGAAGATTGAGAACCAAAAGGTACCGAAGAGTGAACATTTTCGTTATTTGGGATCGATTATCACAACGACTGAGGAGATTGGAGCGAATGTGGTCCAAAATTAAGGCGAAGTGGCTTAAATGGAGGAGTGCGTCCGGAATACTGTGCAATAAGCTAGTACCCATTAAACTAAAAAGAAAGTTCTACATAAGGACTATTAGACTAACAATGTTGTTTAGGATAGAATGCGAAACAACATATAAAGAAGATGAGTGTTACTGAGATGAGCATGCTAAGATGGATGTGTGGCAAAACTAGAAAAGATAGAGTTAGAAATTAGTATATTTGAGAATGGGTAGGAGTAGCGCCGATAAAAAATAAATTGAGAGAGAATAGATTGAGATAGTTTGGTCATATATAACGGTGACCAACAAAGGCAGTAGTGAAGATATGTGATACAGTGACGATAAATGATAGTGTTAAGGGAAAGGGTAGACCTGTATTGTTACGTATTAATATAGTAAATATAGATATGAATCTTCTTAATTTAACTAACGAAATGATCTTAGATGGAATCGAGTGGAGAAGAAAAATTTATACATTCGACTTCATTTGATGTAACTTAAATTTTGATGTGGTTTAATTTGGTTCGGTTTATATTGATACTGGTTTAGGGATGACAACGGGCGGATATGGGTTGGGAGACCTTTACTTGCACACCATAACAGCACCCCTATTCCTATATATAGAATAAATCCAAATGTACGCAATCACTAATGAACCACGTGTACTAAGTTCGAAGGCATCACCAAGAATAATTGCTCGGAATATTTAAGTTTATGAATACTATTAGAGATCTTAAATATTCTATTAAATATTTTACAAAATATCTCCCATGGGTGTGGGACCTATTTGGGATTCACATGATATGGGTCGTAAGTGAGAGATTTAGTAGAATATTTGATAAAATATTTAAGATTTCTAGTATTATTCTTTGCAAATGAGTAATGTTAGGAATCTCAAATATTTTATGAAATATTTTATTAAGGGTTGGTTTGGGAAGTGGGTTGACTTTTTGTCTTTTTGATTTTTTGATTTTTTTGGCTATTTTAGCCTGGGTTAAAAAGTTTAGTTTGGGAAAGATTTTTTGGCTTTTTTGACTTTTTCGTGAGAGAAGAGTGTAATGATTATGGGTTTGATGTGATGTTTTTTTTTTGTGACTAAAATAGCCTATTTTGTCTTTTGTAGCTAAAATAATCCAAAAAAAAACCTCATATTCTTCTTTCCAAACAGTGCCTAAATGTCTCATATAGATATAGGATCTATTTAGATTTCACATTAAGTCCCACACTTATATAAGACATTTAGTAAAATATTTGATAAAATATTTAAAAGTTTTAGTATTAATGATAAGAGTTTAAAAATATACTTTTCATTCCTAGAAATAGAAAAGCCAGATACATTCCATAGAACCCGTTGCTTAATTGCACGTTATTACAGCTCTAAACTCCAATAACTAAAAATAAAAATAAAAATAAAAAATCCTAATTATACTAATCACATATTCAGTTGGTGATAAATATTTTAACCATTGAAAAATATAAAAGAATTTAACTTCTTATTAATTTATTTTACTTTTTTTCACAAATTATTTCTCAAATTCAAAATTTCAATACAACTTAAAAAAATACCTTCAATTAAGGTTCCGGAGATTTTCTCAAAAAAATTCAATTCCTTAAAAAATAAAAAATAAAAAATAAAAAAATTCTTGAAATTTAGATTATCAAAATAATTTTTTTTAAAAAAAGAAAAAAATATATTTGTACATAGGATTTTACAAAATAAACAACTCAAATCACTGTAATGAGACTCGTAGTACCCTAAGGCTGGACTTCAATTTTTTAAAATTCAAATAATTTTACATTTATCTCACAAGTAATATTAAGGGTCTCAAATAAATTACTAAAAATTTTATATAATATAAAAATTAATGTGAAATATAATATAAATATTTGATAATTAGTGTGTCTAGCTTTTTTTTATTCTCACGATGGCCTTTGCTATTGAGCACAATTTTGTTTCTTCTTTTTTTACAAAATTGTAGATTACTGTACCTTCACAAAATATTTACAAATTTATAGAAAATTTATAGTAACTTTAATTGTTAAAATTAATAAAGTTTATTTATTTTGAAAACATATGCGAAGTGTAAATTTTTTTGGGGGTCAGCATTTATACCTGTTAGTGTTAACAACAAATCGAAAATTATGTAGTGATTTTGGATATTGTCGAATGGTGCTCTAACTCAATAAGATTGGTTGAAATTATAGAATTCAGTGTATCTTTTTGAGAGGTTAGTAAGAGACAACTTGACAAGTGTCAAGTGTCTAATAGTGCGGAGTAACATTTGTAGATCACCTAATAACCTCTCTAACAAATCATTTAACAAATCATTTCTTATCCATTTTAATAATTTCAAATAATACATTTTTATTTATTTTTACATATCTGAGTTGTACAAATATAATCTAAATATATAATCGCTAATATTGGATTAATTTAATTTTTTTACATGAGTAATTTACTAAATAAACGTTAAAAAGTATAAGCTTGAATTATGCAAATAGATTCAAAATGAGCTCCCAAGAAACTTAACAAAACCTTCGACTGCAAGGAGTCTCGTTCATATATCTATATTATTTGTTTTTTTTTTTTTAAATGCCTACAATAGTTGATAAATATTAAAACTGTTCATATGAAAAAAAAAATTTAGTTTAAAAATCT